CTATGTGAGGTCTCTATGTGAGGTCTCTATGTGAGGTCTCCTATGTGAGGTCTCCTATGTGAGGTCTCTATGTGAGGTCTCTATGTGAGGTCTCCTATGTGAGGTCTCTATGTGAGGTCTCTATGTGAGGTCTCTATGTGAGGTCTCCTATGTGAGGTCTCCTATGTGAGGTCTCTATGTGAGGTCTCCTATGTGAGGTCTCCTATGTGAGGTCTCCTATGTGAGGTCTCCTATGTGAGGTCTCTATGTGAGGTCTCTATGTGAGGTCTCTATACCGTAGACCGCTCCCATAGACGGCCTCCCCCACTCGACCTGCAACGAACGACCGAGATCCCGGCATCATCGGCATGGAGAACCAGTTGCCGTCCACCAGAGTCTCAGTGCCAGACGTGCTGAAAACCCTGCAGCATGGAAGCACCCAAAAGTGGAAATTCTGCACAGCGCGTCATGGTGCTTCATGGTGGATATGGACAAGAACTAGCACATCGATCTAACAGTTCATCTACTCTGAAGCCAAAGGTTTTTGGAAGCGACTTCAGCTTTTGATAGGTCCCCCTCTCCAAGATCAGCCCTAAAGGAATCGAATTCCAACAAACCACCCGCAGCTAAGCCACCTTTTTTGGCCGGGTCTTACCCCGCTAGCCACCCAAAAGTGAACGGAGTTTCATGTCGGGGTGCGGGTGGTACGTCCGGGTGCCGTCCGGTGAAAGGGGTGGTTCGGTCACGGACGAGCGACACCACCCCTTTGGTCAGATCCTATCCAGTGGTAATCATAGATCCTAATCATAGATCCTTTGGTAATCACTGATCCAAAGATGAGGAGGACGAGCCAACATTCATTGGATCTGTGATGACCTTAGACATCCTCCATCCTCCTGAGATCTCGGCTCCAGGTGGGCCTGGCACAGGCGGAAAACGAAGATATACGTGGGCCGTCACTATGCGGATCACTGGGGCGATGACTGGCTCAGGCTGTGAATGGCTTGGGCTGCAGGAGAAACGATCGTTGCTTTACAGTACTGTTTTACTAAGCCTCTTAGACTACCAGGACCAGGTCAAGCAAGACCATCCTGTCTGGGTGTCCAGCCATGGACCACCCTGCACTACTTGTGGATCTCCAGCCAGGATACCCAAACAGAAGGCTCAGGCCAGGCCCAGCCGCCATCGGCTTCGTTTTTTGCGCTGTGCGTCGTGGCGCGCGGGCGTCATCGGCGAAACGGAAAACGCCCAGCCCCACTTCCGTCCGGTAGAGCTCGAAAGACGCCGTCGGTAACACATGATTTTCGCCCCAAGATGCCCAAAGCTCCCTGGCCCAGGGGCCCTGGCGTAGACTGGTCCTCCTTGTCCTTCTTCCAGGTGAAGCCGGAGGAGAAACACCAATTTTGGGGGTCAAGGATGACGCTGGGAGGCAATATGTCTGCAGAATTGACCATAATGGTGCCATCAATGTGTTTGATTCCATGGTGAGGGTTCCAGTATCGAGCAACCGTATTGAGTATGGATACCCTACCGCTACCTGCTTCAAAGAATCTCCGAGAATCTCCGAGAATCTCCGAGATCTGTGAAGACACAGAACGCAAGTGATGTCTGGAACAGTGATGTCTGGATGTCTGGAATGGAGTAAACTGATGATCCTGAAAACATGGAGTCGGAGTCGCCTCTTGCGCATGGCCGTCGCGTGGCCGTGTACCGGTCCATGGCCGTTTTGTTTTCCGTTGCTTGAAACGGTTAGTATACCTTGAAGATGCTTTCACCAGCTTCCTGGACAAATTCAGCTATGCACTCCAAATGAAATCAACACCTGGTTCGACTCCTTGCATGCTTCCCCAACTCGTCCCCCACAGCCTCCAATGATAAGAGGTTCTGGGCCTTTCCCTTGGCCAGCCTCGAGGAAGGCGGGCTGTCCGGGCATGACAGAGAGAGACCCCCCTGTCCCACTCAAAAGATTTCAGTGTGTCGTGTCGACTGTTGCTGAACTTAACAAAGACAATTGGTTGTCAAGCGTTTACCAGTTAAGAGGTGCTTTGAACATGTTCTTGAGTTGATTTCCACCACCACCACCCACGACGACGACGACGACGACGACGACGACTACTATGATGATGATGATGATGATGATGATGATGATGATGATGGATCCCATCTCATCCAACATCTCCGCATGTATTGGTAAAATAGACATCAATGCATCCAACAAATCGCATCACAAATCCACGGCTCCGGTCGCCGTGAAACGGAGCCATTTCGACCGGTTTCGACCGATGTCGCACCATTGGGTGTTGTCCTCCACCCGTTCTTTTATGGTGTCGAGGTGGATTTCTTGGGGTTTTGAATGTGGGTTGATATGATGATCTGATGAATCCACCTCAAATGGTGTTTTCTCTATAAACACTTGATCTCACGTATCTTATTGGGTAGGAACAGGTAACGTGACGCGATGCTGTCACTCGATGTCGGAAGCGACCGCACTTGTCTCAGCAGACCGGCAGAAAGGCCGGTGGTAGTCGTGTCCTGGTAAGTGTCCCGGCACATGAAACAGGTTGGACTCATTAAATGAGGTATATGTAGGCCAGGTAGGCCTCACCCGAAGGATGGTTTTGCTCTCAAATGGCTTCAAAGTCCAGTTGTTTTGCTCTCAAATGGCTTCAAAGTACGACCAGATTCTGAAAAGGGAGCGAAGCAAAGATGCTTGGACCTTGAATGGACAGTCCTGGAAATCACTTTTGGCCCACCATGTTCCATGTCAAGTCCGGACGTATCGACGTTTGGACGACGGGCCTTGATAAAAGCACCGATGTCAAAGCAATACGAAAAGCAACGCACAGACGTGCAAAAAGGATTGTAGAATTCAAAAGGAAAAGCCAAATCAACGAGTCGCCGAACCCAATTCAATCCTAAATCCTCCTCCCAAGAAAAGGTCACCTCCTTCCAGGTTTGTTCAGGCCCATTCCAAGGCCCTCCACACACCCACCCCCGCCGTTGTTCACCGTTTTTCGGGCGATGCGATGCGAAAGAGGCGCCTTGGGAAAGAACACCGGAAGCCCGCCGTACATTGGCTGCAAGCGCCTCGGGGCCGGACAGAGACGACCGTTGCGGGTGAACCGGGCCATCGATGGCCGATGGCGTGAACCGCGGCGGGGGGAATCCAGGACAAAGCCGAGGGAAAAGAAGGACCTGCAAAGGAGCTGCATGACAATGATGTGATGCTTCTGGTCTTGCTTCCGGTCCGACATACTCTCTAGACTTGGTGCGCATTAAAAGTGATGCGCTTTAGAGTTGCGGCGTGGTCTTGTCGATGTGTTGAAAAGGGCGGAACCAGAGAACCAGAACTAACGCCCTTCATTCCTTGTCTGGGGAATTCTGGTGATGTGTAAGTGATGAGTGATGAGCAAACAACCAGATGTCTCTGTCCACGTCATTTGGAGACTATATAAACTCAGTAGTCGACATGTCCTTTGCTCCTTTGCACCTTCACGCAGTTGCGTGTCGTGAGCGCAGCCGATTTCAGGCTCTATCAACAAACACACCCGGTTGGTGTTTTCAATCCACTTGCAAAAATATGAGTCAGAGGGTCCAATCATCCCCAAGTAAGGGTTGAAAATATAAATATCTGAAACCATCACCTATAGACACTCTATAAAACATGATAAAACCATGCCCCCAATACAAAGGCGGCCCGGACCGAGCGGACTTCCCGCCCGGTTTTGTGGTTCGGCCACAGCGGCGGGTACGCCATGTGCATCAAGGGCATCTGCATCGGCATCGCCTGAGGACGAAGCACTAAGCGGCTCTCTCGTGACGTGACTGCATCGAGGCCAGAAGCGACCAACCGAGCACCTGTTCAGATTTCTTCGGCAGATTTCTAAGTGGGTCCGGTTCGATCCAGGTGCCGTTGCTTTAAGTGCAATGGATCGAACATGCTGAAGATCGCAACAAAAGACCACGGATGTGTTGTTCGTCGAACGCTTCGTGCTTCGCGTGTCAAAAGGTCCAACTTGGCCCATTTTGGGTCTGTTGGAGACACCCACATGGTCGGGGCTTGAGGCTAAAGGGAGCAAGGCATGGCCGAAGTGAGCTACCAAGTTTGCTGGTCTGGATGTAGCTCCAATCTCATTTCGGCCCGCCTCTGGGCAAACTTCACTAGCTCTTCATCAATTAGTGGCCTGGCATCAGCCAACTCCTCCAGTCTTGAAGCTGAAAGCATGGCCTGCGGCCGTCGCTGCGCCGCTCTGCACCGCTCCAGCTCTGACTCCAAATACCGGCACTGCAGCGTTTGCCGCGCCAAACGCTGGGAGTCTTCACGTCTCAACTCCACCAGGCGCCGTTGCCATCGTTCCTCACAGTCTTCCAATTGCAGCTCCAGGAGTCGTGCTTTGGCCTTGCTTTCCACCAACTGCCGCAGCAACGGCACCTCCGTCGCGGAGGATGGCTCCGTCGCGTAGCAGGGCGCTGTGCACTCCGGCGAGCGGCCGGTGGTACTCGTCGTAGACGCCAGCGGGGCCAGCTGATGACCTGGCAGCAACCAATGAGCTGCCTCTTGTTGCACCAAGAGGTGTTTACATCGTTCCAGCTCGGATTCCAAGTAGCCACTTTGAAGCTCCAGCCGGGCATGCTGCCGCTGGGCCTCTTCCAAACGTCGATGCCAACGTTTCTCAGAGTTCTCCAACTGAAGCTCCAACTCTTTCACTCGAGCTGCTGCAAGAAAAGCACCTTAGATGCGCAGAAGTACAAAGACAATCATATTTCCCTGAGGACAACTCATGGGAAGTGGAAGGCATGGCCTCTCTTGGGTGACTCTTTTCCACCTACCGGCGGCTTACGAACACTCCACCGAGGTTCTCCGTCATTCAAACCACCAGAGGTCGGGTGGTTTATGAACCCCCCCCTGCCTGAAGATGTATTTTCCATCTAATAACAACCCTTTGGGTGGTGCTGGAATAAGTGAGGCTTTCTCGTAAGAGGCTTTCCTCCCTTTTTTGGTCTTTGACTTCCTAAGCGTGGCAAACTGCCCTGGCGGCCTGGGCGCTTCTGGCAGTGGGGGAGATACCAAAACCTACAGTGTTTTGGAGATTTGCCTTGGCTGAAGGAACCCAGAACAAAGACTCACCAAGAAACGTCATTCAGTCTTGTTCTTCCAGTGCGCCAGCATTGGAGAAAAGCCCGGAAAACAACATATAAAACAGATTTTGATCAGCAACCCAGAGCTACCTTGATCTTGATGTGTCAGCTGCATGCTGGGCACAAGCCCTTCAATCTCTGGCAAGCTGAGCTGACATCCCTCCGGGCCCAGGCTCCCACCCTCCACGCACGGGGGTGCCGGCGAGGGTGTAGCAGCTCCTATTCGGACATCCAGGACCACACCCCCCGCTTTCTCAAAGAAAATGAACCCATCCTAAGAATCAAGGACCCTAGAAAAGGGTGAAGCCGAAGGTGTTGTTCATCGGGTCCCAACTCTCCTCCGAAGGACAAAGAGGGCAGGATCCCCAAAAAGAAAACCACCCTCCAGTGACTCGGCGGGAGCTCGTTCTTTGTGAAACCAGGGACGAGAAGGACATCGACGAAGGAAATCCCAGACGATCGACGTCTCGATGGTTCTTTGGGAGACCAAATGGTGAGCATTTTGGAGGTGAGCTTAAGCACAAATACCATCGTGGTCATATCGTCTGGCTTTTCTGATCGGACCCCTAAGCTAAAGCAACTCTTGACTGCGAATGAATCGCCAATAAGGGCGAGAGGTGCAACAAATCCGGCCTTGCATGGGGTTGCAAAAAGGAGCAAAAACTGCTCTGTTCTTTGATTTCGATCTTCGTCACATCATGAAGCACGACAGGAGTTGCTTTGTTGTGCTTTGAATCAATCAAATCAAGCAAGCTGGCGGGAAAAAAAGACACATAAGTTGACTCTGTGTGTGTATGGTCAGAAGATGTCTGAGGATCTGCTTCATGTACCAAAGGACCAAAACTGTTGCCAGGTCTAACTCAAAACAACAGTGAACCAACTTTAGAACCCCTGCAAGATGATGGTCACAATCCGTGCCAAAAAGAATAGTGATGATGGCAACGTTATTTAAAACAAAACAACAAGCATTCCAGCCGAAGAGGCTAGCGATGCGGCCCAACATTGGAGCCCCCAACATTGCGGCCTCCAACCGTGGACGATCGGAATAAGACTCTGTCCCCGTCTTCAAAATGGCTTTACATCTCCACATACATAATATGGGGTTGTTCAAGTTACGTACTCATTAACAATCCCCATTGTCCCTCAACACTCAGCACACCTCCAATCCCTGACGGCAGCCGTCCTCCACTCTTCGCACCAGGGCTAAGTGAGACCCCGCAGCCATCCGTGTCCTCTGTGTCTTCCACGAAGTGTGTCTTCCGTGGAGGGCAGGGCGTCTTCCGCGGAGTGCGCTGCGGACTCGCAGGGCTTGATGGTTTAACCAGGAAGCCGCCGGAAGAGGCACATCCCATAGCAACGGGTCGTCTCGAGAAAAACAAAGCCGGCTCCGGAAATCCAAACTTGGGGGCGACAGTTTGTCCGAATTGGTGAATGGAATTGAGCTTCCAGCTGCGTAGCGAGATGAAAGGGTGTTGCACGGGTGAATGGTTCAGGTTCAGGAGCCTGAACCCTAGTGCGCCGGGTCTGACATGGGGTATCTGCGGTATCCGATGGGACCGAGTCGAGGCAATGTGGTGTTCATGCAAGTCCCCAAAGATGACCGAAGAAGTCCGATTCAATGCATCTTTGGAGATTCCGAAGGAGATAAACATTTTTCATCTGTTTCGGATCATTTTTCTAGATTGGTCCAACAAAAACTAGTGGTGTGGTTCTACAAAAATCACATGTCGGAGGACCATCTCATTGGTGACCCTCTGTTCATATAAGCTCGCGGAAAGCCAAAGGCTGTTGATGGACAGTTGTCTTGCTAATTAAATTGGCCAGCATGTGTCGTGAACATGTAGAATACTCCAATGATTTCAATGGGAGTGCGGCCATGGATGTCTACTGATGTGTTGCAAAGTTGTATGTATTTATCCGTGAAAGCCACAAATCCCGAGTGCACCACAAATTTGAGCCAAGATAGCTGTTATGCCCGCCGACCGCCTATCAGCTGGTTTCTGTCCAAACGACATCCTCTGGAAAAGAGGAACACCAAGCGAAGTCCAACTGGCAACTGAGTGGAAATGAGTCAAAACAACCAGCATCTGCTTGGTGTTTTCTCTCAAAAATAGGAGTCCGTGGCTTCAATCATCCCAAGCAAACTGGTTGACAATAAATGGTCTCAGGTCCCACCACCCGGACATCGTTTGAGTCCAAAGGTCCAAGTTGACCCACCCTGGACAGGAGGCTTTTCTTTGGGCATTCCTACGCAATTGACATCAGCTGTTTCCACCAACCTCTTCACAGGCATCAGCTGTTCCAAACAAGACCTTTTTGGGAGGGAAAGAACACAAAACCTCCCAACACGGGCGGTTCTCCCCAAAGCGGTCGTGCTTTTCATCCGTGTGCAGGTTCTCGTTCAACGTGCCCCACCACACTCGCTTTCGTCTGGTCGAGTCGAGGTCAGGGCTCAAAGCGTCCCCCCCGCGCGGTCGACCGTCGAGATCCGTCCAATCTCCGATGGCCCATTCAGCACCCAACAGGCGCGATATGAGGGATCGGGCGGATCCGGGGGGCGGTGGTTCCAGCGCCCCCCCCACATGGCCAAATCGAGAGAGGCTCAAGGGGCGAAACATGTCGAAACATGTCGAAGCCGGTTGTACAGGGTATTTGAGGGTCCAGGTACCCACCTAGTATGGCCCGCAGTATGGCTCGTCCATCTCCGTGGATGAACAAACACTCCGTGGATGACTCGTTCATGGAACGAACTCCGTGAACCAGCTTGGACGAACTGGTCGTTTCACCACACGAGCGAACGCGGGTGGTCGTTTCACCCTCACAGAATCCGCGTTTTGAAACCCGCAAAAACAAGTCGGACCAAAACGTTGTTCGACGTCTGGTGTGGATCCTCGACTATGCCTTTTTCCGAAGATCCTGGACCTTCGCGTGGAGATGTCGACGCACTACTTGTCTGGTGGGGACATGATGCAAACCTTCGTTGTTCTTTGGATCGAAGAGGTCCACCAATTGGAGACCCCGGGAACCGAGACGCTCAGCACGGAGTGAGTCCCAACGCGAGAGGAACCAGGAACCAACGAAGAATTCGAAGCAGGTCGATCCCCAAAGCATCCAATGGGATGTGGAAGATGAAAGAGGATCAATTGGGCGATATGGTGTTTTGAACATGTCCTATTGTGGTCAATGGGGCAGCAAAAATTCCAGTCCCATGGATGGTCTGGGGATGGATTCTCATGTGGGAGATGGATGTTGCTGTTCGCCGAAAACCGCATCAATATCTCATGACATCTCATGACCACTGGGTCACTGGCTGCCCTTACCATCGTGGTCGGACTGGGCTTGGCATTCCTGATGGCAAGTGCTTCGAGGGCAGGGCCCCAGGAGTTCTGATCAACTTCAACCTCTACTCACTAAGCCTGGAGCCTCCGCCTCTCCTCACTACCTCAACAAATAGCTTCTCAGATACCCTTCATGTTCACAAAGAGTGAAACACAGGGACGTCCAGCTACGCAGTGATCCGCCTACCGCCCTGCTTCGCCCTGCTTCAGCCACGAAAGTATGAAGAGGAAACCTAGGATCCTACATCCCATGGCCTACACCGGGTCAGTCAACATTAGCCGCAGAATTCGGACACGAGCCCTGGCCACTTAGAGAGTTCCGGTTTTGTACAAACTGAATGGATCATATGGATCTGAACACCACTTTCACTTTCACTTGCGCACAGAGCAGGAGACGCGCAGCGCCTTCGTTGGTGATTCTGACAGTTAAAGTCGGGATCTGAACACACGTGCAATCAAAGTGGCTTCTGATGGGAAGAAGGATGCTTACGCCTTACGCATCGGCACTCAAAGACCAGAAAGAACGTGCTTCGTCGGCCTCGTAAGACACGAACCAGACATATATGTTTTCTATTATATAGATGTAACTGCTACTGAACCACAGACTATATACTTCTAAGTATATCTTCAAATATGTATTCCTGATGGTTTTTTTGAGGCTGAAGCCCTAGGTGGGTCACTTCACTGTTTCACTCCAACATCCGAACTCCTCCGGGTCAACGGCGAACGACCCGAACGAACGTCATCCCGTCTCCCGTCACCGAGGCCGCGACGGCGGGGAATCGCAAGGCGAAGGCCCTGGTGCCGTCGAGGCTCGGTCGTCGAGTCGAGAGTCGAGACGAGGCCCGGTCGCCACCGCGGTCACGGAGCACGGCGCGCGTGTTCCACGAGCGCGATGAAAGCCATGGTGTGAAGAGGAGTGCAATGGAGTGGTGGTGTGAAGCCTAAGAACGATCCCTTGGTAACGGTCCATCAGTGAATCATTGATGTCCGATGTCCCACCTTTGTTATGTCCAAAGTCACAAACCTACAAACACAGACATACGGGTTTACAAAAGACCTCCGCTACCAATGGGTTCTATTCCATGTGTCTTTTGATCCGGGGTCTAACTGGGGGTGTCCCGGATTTCCTGGATTCACTACCCCACATGATATAAAGATATATAAAGCAGCTTCGCATGCGCAAGTTGCTTCCGGTTTTCCGGGCCTGCAGAAACCGCTGCCTCCTGGCCAAGGACGAGGAGGTGTGTGGGTCAAGTCGTTTTGATCAACGATCAACCGAAACAAAGGGAAGGGCATGGGCATCGGTCCGATGAGCCGGTTGCTCTCCACAACTTGTCTTGACGAAAACAGAATGGCGTTGGGTTTCACAGGTTCTATCACCTCACATGCCGCACACGGAGGGGGTTGAGATGATTTAGAGAGGCAACAATACTGTAGACTGTTGGTGAATAACAGTCCTACATAGTCCTATGATACTATGATATAATAGATCCAACATATATAATTAACAGTCCCACGGAACATATCAAAGGCTGGTAGTCATTCACTAACAGTCCCTGTTAGGCTGAATAACCCCCCTCTTGGATGGTAAAACATGTTTGCCTTCTTTGATTCATCAGCCTGCGAGGCTGCCCAGGGGGGCAGCAGAATGGCTCTGTAACTCGAGGGATTGGTGATCTGTACTTTCATGAGGCTTTCTGGGAGGGCTTGGTGGATGACAAGGGATCGTCATGGCTTGCGCCTGAGATCGGCTCACATGCCAGGCCCTAGAGGAGCCTCCCTCTGACACATGTCTAGGTAGAACATCACCTCACACTGTATAGGAACCTTGTTCCCTTTTGTTTCAAAGGACGTGTCATCACCTTCCAGTTCGTCCTCTGCCCAAAGAAATCTGTGTCTTTTCCGAACCTGTCAGCCGCCAGCGAACCAACCGGCGGACCCACCTTCTGGACTTGACCCTTGGCCTTGGCGCTCTTCGCGGTGAGATGCTCACGTCTGATTCGGCCACGTCTGATTCTCAAGCTGCTTGGAGTGTAGATAGGTCAAACCGGATTGAATTTACAGTACCGTAAGACATGGTGTGCATAATACTGCGTACCAAATACCAGGCGGCAAGGAGGGTCCTTTCTACCGGAAACAAAACACGGACGGAAAAATGCAGGTTCTCGAGCGTCCTGAACAAGAGAGTTCAGATGCATGAATGCTGTAAACCATTATACAAAAAAGGTCTGCTACCTTGGAATGGCCCCTACCTGATCTAAATGTTGCCCTCGCGTGGCTCACAAAAGGTCTGCTCTCTTTGGAATGGCCCCTGCCTGATCTAATTTTTATCTTAAGGTGGCTCACAAAAGGTCTGCTACGTTGGAATGGCACCTTCCTCCTCTAAATTTTTCGGCAGGTGCCTTGCAAAAGGTTTGCTACCTTGGAAGGCTCCTTCCGCAGCTCCTGTAAGGGGACGTGCGTTCGAGTGTTTTTTTCAAGCTGTTGGTTCTTGCAACTGCTCATTTTCCCAACAGCTTTGAAGACCTTTGGATCGGATAGTGTTTTTTTTCGTACCTAAAGTTTCGGAGGCATTTTGCAGTCAAGTCACTTCCACAAGTTCTATTTTCGGCAGCTCACCGACCAATCACACCAAGAACGATAAGTGATCAACGCTGTCTGCAATGCAAAGAGTTCGATCGAGTTTCCTGTAGAGGATGTCTTGCGCCATGTATAGCTGCGTGCTACCATACATGCGTGCAAGCACAGTACAATATGTGCGTGTGAGTAAAACACCATAATACGTGCGACATCCTGGCAAGATGTGGCAGCCAAACGATTTTACGGTTTTGCGCACGCTCGAAACGGACGTTAATATCCCAGCCCAATCTCCTCCCCCCATTTTAGATGCATACATGTGCATCCCACAAGCAGCATGACCATGTCACGGAAACCAAAAAAGCCTATCAAACCCACGGCCCCAGCCACACGGCAGCTGGTCTCAGCAACACTCAAGCCGGCCATCCGTTTTGCGGTAAGAATTGTTCCACCCGGTTGCCGGGAGGTGTTGAGTCAGAGCTTCTTTTAAACACACTCCTTGAAACTGATCATGAATGTGGAAAAGGGTCACCCTTCAAACAGGTGGTGAACACACTCCACCTCCGTGATTAGGTAGTGTAGGTCCCTTTTGGCCAACAGCTCTGAACAAGGATGTTGATGCGAAAATCCTGGGCCTTGGTGCATCTTGGGGTCACCTCGTGGCATCAGCTGGGCCCCACGGCTTTTCCTTTGCCAGCCGGCCTCAGGTTTGCCGGGCACACGCGCCACGGGCGTTCGCGCGTTCGCGCCTTCGGTTTGGACCACCTTGCACCCATGTGGGCATCTACTTGGTACTCAACACTCTCCCCATGTTACCTACATCAGGGAGAAATGGTCATGCAACATAAAACAAAAGTCTGCAAATGGTCATGCTCAGCTTGGCAAGCTAAGGGCTCTCCAAAAGCAAGGTCCCCAGCTGTGGAGGTTGTGCATCGGACTTCTCAAAGTCCTTCCGCGACCCTGGCCACGTCCATGTCACGAAGGGAAGTGATGGGTCAGCTGTTTGACAGTGACGCTCCGGTCGCCAAAAAAGAGAAAAGGAGTGAAAACAGGTACACGGAAAAAGAAAACAAACCCAGCAAAAATTGGAGGACCTATACTATCTATATGTATATATATATATATATACATACCCTAGAAGTCCAAAGACTATATTTTGAGCCACCCTATAAGGACATTCCTATATGTATATATATATACATACCCTATAAGGACATTCCTTTTCGGGCCACCTAAAGACCATTCTCTATAATACTCTTTGACTCCCAGGTTATATATATATTGCATACATATTGGCAGACGCCGTGCCCAAAAAAGACACTCGACCAGCCGTTTCCCGAAACGACCTGCAAGCGTCTTTCTTTTGCTGGGGGCCAGAAGAATAATATACATATATATCTATACAATTAATTATACCATTTTTTACATCGTCTCATATGTTCCAAACAAATTGCCAGACAAATTCTCAAAAATGCTCATGTCCTGGAAACGTGTGGGCGGCCCAAAAAACAAAGAAAACCAGAATCAACCAAACGAGGCGTTCCACCACATCGAAAAATCCAAATGTGGAATTTCTGTGGCAAATCGGACAAATCCAGGTGTCAGTCCATCCACTCCTTGGTCGTCCCAATGCGCCCCCACCTTGGTCGTCCCCCTCCGAAACCCCTTGGTCGTCGTCCACGTCGACCCGGCCTCGCTTGCGGTTTCGCCCCCCCACGGCGGCGTGGCTTCCCGGCGAGCTCCTGGCGGCGTCGGTTCGCGCCGATCGCGGCGCCACATCCTTCGCCTTCGGAGAGTTTGGAGGTTCGATCCTTTAATCCCAAGCCTTTTTTCATACTAATCGTCTGGAGAAAAGAACGGTTCTTCTCCTCACCTATATCAAAGGGATATATATATATATATACATACACGCTTCCTCTTGGGCTCTTAGGCGCCTTCGAAATGCAGATCTCTTTGAGATGTTCCAAAGGATTCTTTGACCTCACAAGTCACCGAATCCAAGTACCTTCGCACCCCCTCCGGTGACCAAGAGATCTCCTGCCCCTCAGGAACCTCATCCTCCTCTTCCTCCTGTTTCCAGCACCACAGGAAGCAAATCGATCAGGGGGGTTGAGATAGAGATAAGGAACAAAGCTGAAGTATTGAACATGTCAAGAACTGGAACATTCAGTTAAATCCTGTTATTCTAATGGTTTATACCTTCCGACTTTGACAAAGCAAGGAAGAGCAGGCCTCAATTTGGGGTCATGGGACATATATGCCGCGGTGCAATAGATGAATACCATCTGTTGGAGAGTGACGGTAGGGCGTTGCAGGCTACAGTCTCTGGCAGGCTTGATTTAGTTTGGCTCCACGTGTCGGTCTACGAGCTCTTCTCAGTGTATATGCAGGGGCTTGAAAGATGCTGAAACCTTTTGAAACCACTTTCGACAACTTGTGCTATATTAATCATATGATTTTGGTTTTTGGGACTGCTTGGGTGACGTTCGCCAATTGCCAAGCCCCGGAACTAGAAACACGTGCCTTTTCTGCGGTTCGGGAGGATGTCCAGAAGACATGCTTCAAGGTTTAGTAGTGCAGGTACTGCTTGCCTTAAATACATGCATCACAAGCATCATGTTTGAACGTCAGGGGTTCTCAGATCCCAAACACTGTTCGCACACCCAGTTTTGGATCATGAAACAAGCGCATATGGACTGCTGGATGGAAGCATCAACCATCCTAGACATATTCCCCCAAGCAAGCTTCTTGGATCCACCAGTTTAGACTGTTTCTACTCAAAGAGTTGCCAAAGCCTATCAAGAACACCTTAGTGCCATGACCTAGCTAGCGAGCGGGTTACCGAAAACATCGAAAACGCCCAAGCATGTCGACTCGCCTCTTCTCTGCTCACTAAACCCGCCTGGGCGATGGAAACGATGAACGATCTCCGTCCGGCATGAGATCGTTTGGTGGTGAGTCAGTCTTGGGTCGGTCTCTGTATTTCACAATCATACAACTCAGCTAGGCCCTTGCGCTTTTAGTTGAGCGGCTTTGTTTTTGGGCGGGGCCTGCACTCCCTGGAATGATTACGTGGAAGATGGCATGTTTACCTGGAAGTTCGGATGACCATGAAACCCGGTTTGATCAAAACATGGTGGTGAACTCACTCCTGAACTCCATGATTCTTTCCAGGAGTCGCTCGACACCGGCTTCTCGGAGTTGATGAAACATATCTCCAAGTAATGCGTCCATGTCAAGTCCCCATCTTAGGATGTGTCTGCTTTAATCCCGACACCAAGCACCGGACAGTGAAGATACGTGAAGCTTAACTAGGGGCTCAAGCGAAAGAGTCAGGATCCGGTTGGACTGTACTGTGGTGCAGGGACAAACCAACGTGGCTTTCGTCTAATTAGATGTAAAGGAAAGAACACCACCACCACCACCACCACAACAACAACAACAACAAGTCACCCGTCTCACAGTGTCATAGACCGTGAGGGATGGATAGGCTTCGACATGTTTCCTCCGTGTTTCCTCCAACAGGGATGTTTCAATGCACATTGCGCATCCCTTGCCAAGAAACTGACTGCTTAGAGGAATGAAATGAAGGAATAGACCCGACCGATATACAGTAAGCGTAATCCTTGGTCGGGGGCGAGGACTCCCCAAAATTCCCCACAAGTCGTACTGGGACGAAAAGATGCATGTCAAAAGCAAATTCGAAAAGCCCTTCATTCTGGTTATCTTCCATCTTTATTGTTCCAAGTTCTGGGGGTGGAAGCTCTTGACTGGGTCTTTTGGCAATTGAACCACCCCCACAGATCCCCACAGCGCAACAAGTTCCGGGGTCTTCCAAGTTCTCCAGTCTGGTCCAGTCCGCCCAAACAACGACCCCTCTGGCACAAACAAAACCCCTCTTTTGGGTCCAAACCAATAACTGGTGCTTCGGTTTCGGAATGAGGAGTTGCTTCGCACGAGTTCCTCGCACCAGTCAGGCCAAGCCCGGCCCCATCCCTCCGCCTGCTGCGGGCGCAGCGGCACCGGCGTCGTCGCCTCACCCCAAACGCCGCCACCGGCGAACGACTCGGCGGAGCGTGGAGCGAGGAAGGTGAGGCGAAACGAAAGGATTTGGTTCGTGCTTTTCTGCCCCAAATGGACCATGCGGCCAGGATGTTGCTGCCAAAATGTGTTCGATGCCTCCACGATGGGGGATGGTGATGGGGGGCTGCCGGAGTGGCTTTTGAATCACTTTCTCCCGTGAGTGGATCATGGTCACCCCAGGGTACCACTGTCCTCCAAACTCGGAACTGCTGTTGGCCCTCGCCCCCCCAACCCGATCCACCTGCGAAGGCTTTTCTCCGTTCCGCTGTGGGTGCGAAGGTCCACCGACGCGCGCGCGGCGTTGCGGCCAGGCCCTGCCGCGGTCGGCGCGAAAAGCGAGGTCCCGGCAGGGCTCTGATGCCAATCCGACTGGTCGAACGATGGCCGCACAGATCCACCAAGTTAGATTCGGGTCCCGTGAACGCGAACGAAGGGGAAGAGATGTGGAGAAGAAGAGACACCATAGGATCAGGGATCCAAGCGTGCAGCTGCAGCTGCTGATTTGGCCTTGTCTTGGCCATTCGACCGATCGTGTCATGGGTTCTTCAACCAAATGGCCCTTTAATGATGACTGCTCCCCGTAGCCATTGCCCATCTGCTCACGTTCTGGTTATAGACCAATTCGATTGTCAGAATGTCATTTGGTTGATCATTAAGTGCATTACCACTCCCTTGGCAAGCAAGGTGGATATTTTTCGGGGTCTGTGCATAGACCGGTCTGAGACGTGAATCACGTGAAGTTGATGCACCATTCTGATCCACAAAGGAGGCCGGGCATTCTGCAGGTCTCCAGGTCTCCCGTCTAACTGACCCATGGACGATCCCATGGACCCGGGTCTGAGACGATCTCCCTGAGAATGGACCCGTGGTGGTTTCGACCATTATCCTTCACAAGCTATATTGGTTTTGAGCTTTCATGCGGTCCTCTGCAGGGGAGTATGAATTACCAGTTGACAGGGTCACAGGCTAACTTCTTGTTCCTGCTCCTGCTCCTGCTCCTCCTCTTCCTCCTCCTCCTAATTACTCCTTCTTCTCTGCTTCCTCTTCCTCTTGTTCCTACTCTTCTCCTTGTGACATGGGGCCATGCGGTCGGAGATGCCAAACGCCCCCCGACAGAGAGGTCTGGCAGGGGCGTGGGCCCCACAAACGCACAGTGACCTCCCATCGTTCAATGCACAAATGGCATACAAGGGCGGGCTGCGAGCGCTCTCGAGCTTCTCGAGTTGCTCAACTTCAAAGGATTGAAAGCTAGCAACCCTCTGGTGGTCTGGGAAACCGGTGCCCCTACAGCCACAAGTCTCCACAATCTGATGTTTGAGCATGGGAGTATAGAGCACCTCTAGTGCTGGCATGTATATGTGGGTGCTTAGTTTATATATATATATATACCTGGACCTTCAAGGGGTGTCCAATGGAGGTCCCTTAGTGGTGTAGGGGCTTCCATTGGTGACCCCTTTGAAGGTGCTGGTATGCAATTGATACACACGCCATTCTCCATTCGCAAGCAACTAAGGTCGTTCTTTGTTGCAGTTGGTGAGTGAACACTTGGGCCACACCAGCTTTGCACAAATCATCGAAAAACCTGTTCAAAAACAAGCTGGACCACCTCAAATGCAGATCACACATACCACCAGACGGGTTGGAGAAAGACCTAGAAAGACACCATCCGGCTGCTGTCGGGTGGTCATTTTGTAGAATTTAACGGGCCAACTTGCAAGCCGCAGCTTGAGGTCTGCCTATATTTGCGGGGAATGAGTTGTTGACTGGACATCACGAATAGTCGACAACAAATAAATATGCTTAAGAAAAGCGTATAATTACTATACCAGTTAGAAAACTCTGTTGATATACTGATATACTACATATAATACTTGAGAACCGTCTGGCCCTGCAGTTGACAACTTATGGCTGGAATGTTGCAACCCAGAAAAGGAATGACTTCACCTCAAAGAACAGGGTTCCTTCACAGCTGACCCCAGCGCTTCGTCTTGTCTTGCGGCCAAAAAGTTGCAGCTCCGCACAGCAAAGCCAGTCACATGACCTGGTCACTGATCAAAACTGCCTGCGCCCTCCAGGCGCTTCCAAGTCAGCACCTGACGAGGTCAAGGAGATCAAATGTTGCTCCGTTCGTAGCGAGGCCTCCGTCGCCCCGAACGTAGCGTCCGGACCTTTTTGCATGCTGAGAACACAAAGCAAGAAGGGTGGGGTGGCAAATATGAATCTGGCGCGAACAGGCTGAACCCCCACAAGGGTCAACTCAGATACTTAACATCAGGTTCGATGACTTCAACCTGACTTCACCCTTTTCTGGAGTGGACTCCAAACCCTCACATCATAAAGGCTGCCCATGTCTTCCCTAAGCTTCAAACCGAACATCTCTTTCCACAGCTGACATACTCTCCATAAGCTTCTCGACTTGTTCCGTGGTCACACATCATCTCTCCATTGGAAAATCTCATCACCTCCCCCTACCAGGCTCACCCCCAGCCTCTGGTTTCAGCTTTCGTGCTACCCTCCACAACCGGCCATCAGGGCAGTGCAGAGACGTGATGATTTCGTCCCCTCATCGGCGGCGCGCCGCGCTGCGGCTCGGCCTGCGCCACCTGGGCGTCGCGAGGGGGGACGTCTGGGGCGAGCATGGTCGCGTCACCGATCGGAGACTTGAAATGAAGAGAAAAAGAAACTAGAATCAGTTCAGCATGAACTCAACATGCAACATGATTGAACATGTTGATGACGCATGAGGACGCATGATGACTGTGTTCAAGGCTTTAGCATGTCTTGCATCATGTTTGTCTTGTGGAGTTCCGATCAAGTGGCACCGTTCGATGAAATGATGATAGATGCTGCAGCCCCTAGGCCTTCAGCCTTCCTCCGACCTTCCGGCTGCTTCTCCCCAAGGAGACCGTCCAGCCAGGCACGCCAGCCGGGCACCGCCCACCCGGCACGCGTTTCAGGATCCCCCAACTCTTCCCACCCACCCGCAGCTATCCGCAGCTCGCCGCAGCTCGCCGCGCCTGTTGGTAGAGCTGCCAGTTCTCCACCACCAACTCCATCGCTCCACTGCTTCGATGGCCTCCTGAAGCGAACAGACAGACGTCGGTGACGGACGTCGGACGTCCGAGAAGGGCGTATGGCTTGGAGGTTTTGGAGGATGGAGGAGGGGCCCTTCTAATTCGCAAATCTTCAGTTCCAAGACTTCTCGACTGGTGGGCCGCTCAGTTATTGCTCGCCCCTAACAGAGGTGGGGAAGGAGGGGCTGCTGAGAACCCCGCCAGCATAGAATGCTGCCAAGCCTTGAGGATTTTGGAAGCGAAACCCTCTGGTGGTAGCCCATCCACCCAAAAGCCTTAGGCCTTGGCAGCTCAACCCATTCCTAGACCTCAATCCCTGCACCAACCCCTCCAGGCACGTCCCACCGTCGTCCCCTCCTGGGACTTTATTCACCTCGGCAAACTTCTTGAGGATTGGCTGCAAGGCTGGGTATTTGGACCGTGGCATCGAAGGAAACAGGTGATGCTCCAACTGGTATTGCCTCGGTGTTTTTCTGCCACGGAGCCACGGAGCCAACGGATTCCGCGGACGCTCCAACCGCCACGGTTCTTCGTGCGCTGACTGACGGTGCATTCTGGGGTGTTTGAAGAGAGGTTTAGAACGCTCAGCTGGCCTTGTGCAAGCGCAAGTCTTACAGTAAGAATTGCACCTAAGCGGCTGCTTGACTGTTTGGATTCCTTTCTGGTGGGGAAAACAACCACGGAATCAGGAAGCCTCCAGTTCATCGCAGAGGTTGAGACTTTGAACATTGCGTTGGTCCCTTCACCCCATTGCCATCGTTTGTGCATGTGGAATGTGGAGATATAAAAAAAGAATCCGCCCACAGAAAGCAGCATTGCTTCTTCAGCATTCTTCAGCCAAGGCTTCCTGGAGTGGTGGCCTCGTGTTTTGGCTCTTGCTTTGAATGTCATTGGAGCTCTTGCTTGAGGAACCAGAATACTCCCCAATGACCACTGTGTTCCTGACCAGTTCAGCCGCTACGCTGCATCACATTGCTCCGGAGCCCACCCCTCCAGCCCGAGCTGGCCCGCCCTCATCCAAGCGGCATGCCTCCCCAGAGCCACTTGCCGAAGGGGTTCCGCACGGTGGCATCTCGAGTGCTACGGAACTGGTTGTCCACGAAGTCCGGGTTGAAGTCCTCGAACCTGAAACAACGGCGAAAGAGCGGTAGCGGGCGGTAGCACCACGTCGCGCGCCCGGTTACTGGTTGGCAGCCCATGGTCCGGGTGATGCGGCCGGAATTGCGGCTGGCTGGGGTGGGTGGGTGGGTGGGTGGGTGGGTGGGTGGGTTGGCGAAGTTGACGAGTTAACTGGCATTTGGGTACTCCAAAAGAAATTCTTTGCAACACTTCGGAGCTTTCAGGAAAGCCGTTGGAGGATGCAAGAACTTCTCTCATAGATTCTGTAGATTCTAGATCTATCTCACAAAGCTTTACTTGAATGGGGGTTCAAAGACTTAAACTGACTCCTGATGTCCCTTTCCGCGCTGCGGCCGAGAAGCATTTCTTCTGATTGGTGAGTGGCTGTGGTGATGATGGCAGTGATCAAGCCCGACAATAAGATGTACGCCGGAATAATGTGCCAAGGAATCAATGCAAAGACCTCAGTCAACTTTAAGCAGAAGGCTGTGACAGGCTGTGGGTCAAAACCTGGGAGCTCCAAATTCTGGCCATTCTATTCCAGTGCCAAGACCTACAGCCATGTATGTTAGGTCATCCGTCTCGTCCGTGACACCGTGAAACCCTGGTCGTCCGTGGACCCTGGTCGGATCTGCGTGGATCTGCGGTGCTCATGCACAGCCGAGTGTCTAATATGGACCAACACGGTCAGAACGGGGGAAGACTCTGGGAAGACTCTGGGTCCTCATGAAGACCGGCGACTTGTTTATTTAGACAGACAGCCCAAGACATGTGTCATGATTTTTGTCATGAAGACAGGCTCATGATTTCATACCTGGTAGTCCAGTTTCAGGTGACCCAGACTGGATGCTGCTGGACGTCGAGTCCTTTCGGCCCTTGGCAGACCTGCTACAGTTCGGCCAACCTGTTGAGACACGCAGAACGAGTCGACCGGCGCGGTTGACCAACTCGTGCTTGATGGAAGAGTTCTGGAACGAAGCTCTTTGGGAGAAGCTGTTTGGGGCGCCCACATGGGGCTACTGACTTGATGGGCTTGATGTTCCTGTATCAGTAGCCCCACTAAGACAGCTGAAGAGTTCTGGTTGTATTTTGAATGATTTTGACACTTCGTATGTTGGATGTCGCCTTCCACGTGCCCTACCCGGTGAACGTGATCAGATCCCCTGGCAGCACCACGAACTCTCGCCGCTTTCAGCGATCTATCTCGACGGCTTTTTCGTTCGGACTCCACGCCAGATGCGTTTTTGGAGGTCGGCAACACCTGGACTGTCTAATCCTTCAAAAGCTCTGCCTTTTCATCGATAAAACCAGGCAGACATTGTGCATAGTTGGAAGGTCTAGGTTTGTGCCTTTGACACATCCCCAGATTGATCCATATGTCATCATATGTCATTCTGTTTGACAATCACAAGGGAGAATCATGGTGTCTACAGTATGATTCCCGGAGGGAGGTGCTGTCAACTCTCTCTCTAGCTCTATACCTTCTATACCTTCACACCGGTGCAAATTTCAATATGACACCCCGGACACCCCCCAACTGTCCTTCTTCCAAGGGGGGTCGTTGCCTGGGAGGTCTCCCTACTTTAATGCACCATGGTGTTTGCATGTGCCAAGGACACACCGGTGACGGACTTGCTCTGCCCGTGGGCGGCCATGTCAAGGCACCAAAGACCAGTGGGCGGCCAGCAGTACCGTTTCAGTGACTGCGCCCTTCCGTGGCTTCTTCTTTCTCCTCAGTTGCAGACGGATGGCCTGGTGCCCCACATGGTCTGCATGGCTCTCATTCTGCTTTTATAAACCATCATGAAGCCCAACACACATGGAGAAAAGTGCATTTTGTCATTATCAACCAAGCACATGGTTGTCAACCAACTGGAGAGTATGTCATCATCTATCCTTTTCACCGTTAGGTAGTGCGCGAATCACTCTAGCCAGGAAATCCCACTTCTGAGAGTGCTGCCTGTGTGGGCGTTTAACAAGTACACATGAGGTGTTCGAATCAATTGCAGTGTGAGGTTTAAAGCATCAGAAAGTGTAAAAACAATAGAACCTCCACATAGGAGGAGAAGGAGGAGACTGAGTCGGGATGCCGACAGAAAAACAAATAATACACAAAAATGTGGGGAGACCTCTTGACCTCTTTTCGGAGCTATGAATGGACACCCGGAATCCGTGCTGCTGGGAGTTGATGTTTGAAGTCCCAAAAGCCCTCTTGTGACTCGGTGTGGGTGACTCAAAATCCCAGGCGCAATTCCTTCCATAGAACTTTGATGGAATCCATTCGCCAAATCACGAACCTGAGCAGACATCTTTCGTTGCAGTTCTTTTAAAGAGGCCTTGGGCCTTGGGGAAAATGGATGAAAGAAAACAATTGCATATAACTAAGAAGACAGTCAAAGCTGCAGTAGTTAGGCTCTTGACTACTTGGCTGAAGTGCTATAACTGCCACTCTACTGGCTTTTTCAGGTTTTTCAGGTTTTTCAAATCTGGCATCAAGCAGTACGCCCTGCGTTAGACGTTCTTTCTACCGCCCTCCGTCTGACCCCACCAAGTCACAGCATCGAAAATGAGAGAGGCACCTCATTACGGCTCGACCGAGGCTCCCATGGACGCCTCTTCCGTTCCGGGACGACGTAACGACCCGACATCGCCCGCGGGGTCGTCGCCACGTCGGCACGGACTGCAGATGAAGCCGAAGTTGGTCCAGAAAAGTCCAGAACACTCTAGAACTATGAATTATATATAATATATGTATATATATATAATATATATAATCTTCTCGGACTCCCAGGGTTCATGTGTAACACGTCCTCCACTCGGAGATGTGCAATATCAAAGGCCGGTGCTTGGACATGATCTCCCAAAGGAAAAGCAGTGTGCCGATGGGCACAGTAAAGCTTTTGGTTACGGTGCTAGATATACTATCTTGTGGAAAGGTGTAACAACAACATAAGACTTAAGAATTCAGCGTGCTTCGAAGTGGCTCACTGCAAACTCAGACTCTTCCCTAAACCGCAGGTTACCTCTGGTTCTTGAGCATGTTCTTCTGCCAGAGGCGCTGTCAAGTGCTGTATCCGCCGGTGCCATGAATCATTCTTTGGATCCGGTGCACGGACGAAAAGCACGGGATCTGTGGCGATATCCTGGCGAGTAGACTGAAACGGTGCAGGAAAGTCGTTTTCAAGGGCAATCATGAGCAGAGTCATGAGATGTCATCATCTTCCCAACCAGTCATCGAAATCACAGGCATGTCTTGCAGAGGTGCATATGTTCAATGTGTGATCATGTGTGTATGATCCGGTGATCTTGCAACGCAACAGAACCTGTGGTGCTGCACAAACAAACCTGCGACACTTGCAGCATCTTGCGGCTTTAACGCGCACAAAGCTATGAAAAGGACCTCATCCACACCAATCTCGTTGGTCAGGGCATGGTGCCTGGGACGAAGAGGACGAAGTGTGGCAGTCCGAGGAGTGCAGTGTGAAGTGGCTCTTGCAGGTCACACCGCTAGCAGATGCATTCGAGGAGTAGGCTTGGTAAAGTCAAGTGAGTAGACGAATCCTAGCAAGAAATATATGCAGTAGTACCTGCTCAGAGACCCCAAGGTGCATGTGTGTGTGCCACACTCTGCTTCCAAGAGTTTTAATATGCAGGGGGACGGGTCACCACCGATACTGCCCGTCCAACGAAGAGGGTATCGGTTGGTGCTGAAGCAGTGGAGGACGCTCCACTGTGTACCTGCATCAAACGCATTGACTCCACTGGTTTCCCTTGCCGCTGTTGGTTTGTTTCCATGGTGGTTCTTCGCATGATATCCCCCAAAACAGGTTTCCTTGCACGGCGTGAATTCAGTCTGCTAAGTAATCACTCGGACTTTTTGCCTTTCGGTTCACTCTTTCCTTTCCTAGGTCTGCTAAGTGTTCAGGAACTAGTGTTCTGCAGGCACGCGTAACCTTCTGTTAAACAATACTGTTTTGCGGACTCTTCCACCTTTCGGTTCCATCGCCATTTTCGACCTGGGAACTGAGCTAACTGAAAACCAATGTCAGAGTGTGTGCCGCTCTGCCGTCCCACTTGGGTGCAGGGTGTGATCTCCCGCAAGGGAGCGCTGTTCTCATTCCGGATTACCGTGTAACTGATTCAGCGGATTTTCTGCATGCGTTGGATTCTCTAATTAACTGATTTTGTCTCACCACTGGATTCCCAAAATTCCACGCCGGGCATACGGAATTCCGTCCGTTTTTGAGCTCGTTTTGAGTTTGACATGTCCATTTTGTTGCCAACTGGACTCTGATCGTTTGGGTTCCCACACCCCCCCCCCCCGCCGAGTTCTACTCCCTACCTAATTAGGGTAACAGAGGGAAATGGTACTCGACACACTTGTGTGTCGGTGCCTTTCCCTATGTTGTCCCTGTTCTAGTCTACTCTACCCGGGCGGTTTAAGACTAGAGTCCCGCTCCCTAACTATTGCACCTAATTAGTTTCCGCTAAGTAGTCAGTAACTCTAGAGTGCTAAGTATTCAGACACACACATGTGCACACACATGGATCCCCCCCGCATTCTTTCTTGCGCTTTTCGTCGTTTCTTGGGCGTTCTTTCAGGCTTTTTAGGTGGTTCTTGAGGTTCGTTTCCCTGCCCCAGTCAAGGGCTAAGTACACCTTTTGCTACACCTATCTTTTTCTCCTGCCCTTTTAGCGCTGCTCTTTCTGTCTTTCTTTCTTTCGCTTCTAAGGCTTTTTAGGTGCCTATTTAGGTTTTTTCGCCGGAGCGCCGCAAAGCGGCTGTGTGTGCATGTGTGTGTGCCACACTCTGCTTCCAAGAGTTTTAATATGCAGGGGGACGGGTCACCACCGATACTGCCCGTCCAACGAAGAGGGTATCGGTTGGTGCTGAAGCAGTGGAGGACGCTCCACTGTGTACCTGCATCAAACGCAATGACTCCACTGGTTTCCCTTGCCGCTGTTGGTTTGTTTCCATGGTGGTTCTTCGCATGATATCCCCCAAAACAGGTTTCCTTGCACGGCGTGAATTCAGTCTGCTAAGTAATCAGTAACTAGTTTTCTGCAGTCACGCGTCAACCTTTGTTAAAACACCTTCAAGTACTCGGACTTTTTGCCTTTCGGTTCACTCTTTCCTTTCCTAGGTCTGCTAAGTATTCAGGAACTAGTGTTCTGCAGTCACGCGTAACCTTTCTGTTAAACAATACTACTTTGCGGACTCTTCCACCTTTCGGTTCCATCGCCATTTTCGACCTGGGAACTGAGCGAACTGAATTTCAATGTCAGAGTGTGTGCCATTGGATGTTGAAGGGTGAATTGGTGTCCAACTTTAGATTCCCGTCATCCGTTTGGTTTCATCCCGACGGTTTCATCCTCCAATTTTCGATGGTTTCATGTGTCCGAACACTTCCTCGGAAGGATCACCGTCAGCAAATCGGTGCCACCGGGATACCCTCCGCGATATACTCAAGGGTCCATCTTCTCTATACAACGGGTACACATACCATTGAATTGGGATTAAAAATCAAAACAGGCGGGTAAACCTCAGAAGCTTATATAGATACACCTTGAAAAACATGCCCTAGGGCCACAACTACCTCCTGCAAAGATGGTTGGGGTGGGTTTGGGGGCCTAACCACCTTCTGAGAATATGGTTGGAGACGTAGGGATGATTCACTTCACCATGGCATAAGCGGCATAAGTGGATACGTTACACGATCGCTTCCCTTCTTCATCGCTTCCTCCGTCAGCTTCAGCTGCAGCCCACGGCGCTTGTTGTGCTTGTCTGACCACCATAGGGGCGACATGCCTGCACAAAGGGGCCCCATAAAGCCTCAGGTGACGTTCTGGTCAGTTGCCCCGTGGTCCGGTCCGACAGATCCCCACGGAGGTGAAGTAAGTCATCGAGAACGTGAAGCGGAATGAGTGATTCCTCCCTCAACGGGAACGCTGGTTCTTCACCGAAAGTAGGACTGGAACGCTGGGGAATTCCCAAACAAGAGGAAAATCATCACGGGTCCCCTTTTGATCCCTGCACCCCGGAGACGATCCTCGAGACCCATAGTCGTTCTCGAAATGCGCGACCGGTGTAAGGGGACGGACTCAGGGGACGGACGTGCTGGCTGTTCATACGATATATCCATGTGAATCCATATGATTCTCATTCCTACCATTGATGGCTTGATATGGAATGATATGGAGATAATGATATATCATATGTATTACAAATGGCCTACAAGAGGATTCTCATTCCTACAAATGGCCTACATATGGCCTCTATATCCTACCAATCCGACAGAATCCGGAGGCATCCAGGCAGCGCATCTTCTCTGCGAAGGAATCGACGCCATGGATGTAATCGTGGGCCAGCCAGCCAGCCTGGACTGCCGTTGGTGGCTTTCCGGTGTTCAACGAAAACGAGCAATTCGACGTATTACGAGTCTACCGTGGGGTGGCACAATCATCCCAGACGTAGAGGTGGCAAATAAACATCTCTGAAACCATCACACACAAAACTGGTCTTTCAAGGCTTTCGGATCCTCTGTAGCGTTACGTTGGGAGTCACCTTTCATGTCTGTTTCGGAATGTCTCTGCCTTATGTGAGTGTGTGCGGGTCAGCATTGTGAATCATATCCTCTTGGAAGTCTTTGAGAAGAACCCACTGTGGAATATGCCAGTGTCAACGTCCAACTGCCCCACCTACGCCGCTGGGCCTGTGGAAACACGGTGTCCACGCCGTCGCTCCCAAGACGGACAGTCGTACAGACGTGCGAGCCGGTGCTCCTGCGTGTTGGCGAGGGCCAACAAAACAACACCAAGCAGGGCGAGCCAATGACCACTGCGTGCACACACCACACCTGGGACCGACGATGAAGGTCACATCGACCAGCGATGTTCTGGAAAACCGACAAATCGGGGTGGTGTCCAACTGAATTAAAAAATAAGAGTCAGTGGGCTCAATCTTCTCAAGTATAGATAGTATAGAGTCTAAAGGTTGAAAATGCAAATATCCGAAAACACCACCATTTAGGTTCTGTACCTCAAAAGGCTGCCAATCGGACTGAGAACAATTGTCAATCCTGGAAGCACGAGAACCTCTGTCTGCACATCCTATCTTCAAGTCCAAGAAAGGTTCCTGGTGTAAGGTCGGCACCAAGCGCTGTGACCGAGGCCCAGATGAACCATTGACGGCCCTGGCCCGAAAAAAACAGCAGGTTGGTGCAGAGTGGACGGTGACAGGTCAGGGATCACAGGAGCATCAACCGCTGATGGCAGTATTACTGGAAAATCTCTAAGTTAGGACCATCTTTGCTCAAGGTTTCATGGAAACAAAATGGATCAATCAATTCATTCGTGTCACTCATGGAAACAAAATGCATCATGTCACTTCGCACCGTTCGACCCTTCTTCACACACGTTTCACACCCACCACTCGGTTCACACGGTTCACCCCGAACACGCTCCCGGTGCCGAAACGGTCTCACGGTTCACGGCGGACGTGCCTCAAGGACCAGGTCTCGTTTCCACCAGCCTTCCTCTTCCAACTTCGTCCTGGCACGTGGAGAGAGACGTGGCGTTTTCAAACGACGTGAAGGCAGAGGCCAGTGTGAAGGCAGAGAGGTTGAAAGACCTTATTGATGGGACCCAATAGTGGTACCATATGAGATGGGATATATAGAATTACTATAAGCTATATAAGGCTTCTTCAACCTCTCTAGGCAGGTGTCTCATCATGGCAAGTCTTCAAGTGGGTCTTGCACGCGCGAGCCGCGCGGTGTTGGAGCTTCCAGACACGGCCGACAGAGTTGGGCAAACAGGAGCCGAGACAGGCCAGCGTCAAAAGACGTGGCTCACGTTCAACAGGTTACGGTTAGCGGTTGTATTTGCAGTTTTGAAGCACTGAAGCCCACAAACAAGCACCCGCAAAAAGATGAAGCGACTGGACCTCTGCTCCGTTGTTTCCGTCAGCTTCGTTGTTCCCGAAAAGTTCCTACAGAGCATTGTTGCATGATCGCTTGAATATGAATTGAAACCAAAAGTGCAAAGTTTTCCCAGTTGTCAGCGTGATGTTGCAGAACATGTCAGCGTGATGTTGCACAGCCTATGTCATATCTGTTTAAGCTTAAAGTCGTAAACACTAACGCATTCTGAAGGGACCCATTTCAGATATGAGATACTGAGACTGGATGACTGAATCTAAAGGAAGAAGACAATGATTTTTTTGTATGCTGAAGAAATCAGCTGCTGGCTCAGTTGTGGATAGCGGTCTGACCGCACCCTCCTGAGAACCACAGGTTGTGAAACAGGTCTGCAAACATGCAAGTCAACCAGGCCGACAGTGACAAAAAGTTAACACAAGTTATATGCATGCTTTTACAAAAAGTTAGGGGAAACAGTGCAATAAGAGTAGAAAACAAAAACTTGGGAGATGGGAAACGTAACCATATAAGAACACCATTCCTAATGGACTTAGTGAGTTTTATGTTTACTTTCCAAACAAGTACGTAGTCTAAGATTTCAGTAAGTTGTTCAACTTCACTTCCGTTCGGACACTCGTTCAGCCTAGAGGATCCGTCTATCTCTTCCCGCCCTTCCGCACGGAACTCGTGTCTTTCTTCGTTCGCCCGCCTGAGCTTTCGAAAGCTTCGCGTCAGCGGGGTCACCGGAGCACAGTTCGCCTGACTCAGCGGAGAACCATCGGAGCATCGAGAGATGATCCGATGGCCCGATCCAGTCGGATCTCGAGAGCATCTCCGCGCCCCGAACGATGCTGCGCTGCGGCGTCATCGTTGCGGAAGACTGGAGAAGACAAGTGAAAGGTGTAAAGGCGAACGATGCTGCGCTCGTTCGGGTGAACTGGCGAGCTCTTGTTACTAGCTCCAAGTGACCCGGCTCCCTGTTTTTTCATGGGGAAGAACTGGATACCCCTCACAGCTCCTGAGCCCAGCCCTCCCTCCCTGAGCAAAAGCCAGCCAGGGGGGAGGTTGTGCTTCAAAAGCCAAACGAAAAGCGAACTTGTGGCCCAAACATCAAAGAATCATTGGCAGCCACCATCTACCAAAAAGCCTACCACCTGCCTCGTCCTTGTTGCCCAACACTGAAAAACCACCAGCTGAGCAATTTAAAGCATAACACACCCCAACATCCTTGCGTTTTCGAGGAGAAAACACACCCAAAAAGCCAAAAACGCCTCCAGCTCCTTCGGATTCTTCGACTTGGGCATGCGCTTCATCATCTCACGGCCTGAAAAGGACGTCGGCACTGTGACGGCGCGACGGCGTAACAAACCCTTCGGAAAGAAAGAGCTCGGCATGGGCTCATTGACTCCCTAGCCGACGGGTGTTGGGCAAAAAAGAACAGATGTTTGAGCCAAGGGAAACTACACTTGGATGTACACTCCCTCACGAAAAGGAACATGGAGAACAAAAAACACAAAGAGGACCTTGTTGTTTTTTCCAAGTGGGGCCTCGAAGGGAATGAGATCTATATACATTATATACGTACCAAAAAATATATACCTTGAACACATAGAGATCATGATTTGAACGGTTGGTACAGTATTTTGATGTATTTTGGGTCACTCAGGTTGTAGGTAGGGCAGCTTCTGGCAATGTGCTGCTGAAAACAGCCGTTAGGAAGAGATAGTTCTTCTGGTTGGAGGGGTTCATCTGACGTGCGTGCTAGGGTACCCAAGATTTTGACCATCATTCACATGATGTCCAAAACCGCGAGCACGTGAAAGAGATTGAAGAAAAGCGCCAGGATGAATGATGTGGAAACTCAAAGAACAACTTCCCAACTTCTCCCAACCTCCAATGATCTGATGTGATTCAATCGTTCTTTCAAGAAACTTCCTATGACTCCCTTTGGCGTGTATCTTTCACATGGGTGACCTCCCAATGACTCACCACTGACCCCACCATCTTTTCTTTCTTTCTTTCTTTCTTTCTATTCGCGCACGGTGTCCGTAGACTCAGCGCCTTGCTGACATGAATTCTTAATTAAAGCGGATTGAAGTCTGGCCCTTCTTTACAATATTTATCCACCTCCGTGATGTGCATGGCCTTAAGCCAGCGTACATCTTCAGGTGGTGGGCCTGACCTATATGTTGCACCTGTCATCCATCGATCAAACATCTTGGCCAAGAAACAACAAAAGTCCCTCGGGTATTCTTTGAGCGAGCTGGTGGCCCACCCACGACCCTCCAATCCGATCGATGAAGCTTTGGGGCAACTGGATGTTCTACTCGCCTTCTCTAAAGCCGAAGTTGTTTCAGCTGAAAGTCCGGCTACAAGTAGATTTGTCGGTTTGGCACTTTTAGCGCCAAAGTGCCCTTGCATGACTCTCAGATGATGGAAGAGTTCCGCTTGCCCTAACCATTGCATCAGAGTTGTGCCCCAGACACTTGGCGCCTCTTTGTGTGGGGTTCGAAGTTCGTGGGGGTCCAACGGGTGCTCGAGCACTGCAAAGCCCCCACTAATGGCGACTTCCAGCATGACGAGAATAGCAAATCCCATGAGCTGGTTGCCAATCTCCACCTGTTGGCCTTCCCGGAAGCTAATATCAATCAGTCCCCAGGGGTGCGAACGTGTTCGAAGCGGCCTCGGTGGCTTGTGATGCCCTGGTACAGCTTCAAACCGAGCAACTGACCACGTTTCGCAAGGAGGTCCTGCAAAGGCTGCCGCAATGGCACCTGCACGAATCACCTGAAGTATTGCTTCCTGCTGTGCACGATTTGTGAGGTCGCCATGCTTGGCTGAAACCATCACATCCAGCGAGATTACGAACATATTGGTGCCTTCTGGAAGACACAACGCTTCTAATGCTTCTTGCAGATCTCCCGATCTCCGTCGACCGCTGAACAGATGCAGAACGTAGATTTCGTGACAAAAGAAGCTAGTTCGTGGACTCACTGGCTTGATCGTGACCCGCCCCCTCTCCTCCTCAGTGGTGAGGAGTTCTGGCTGGGGTTCCGTTGGCTCTTTCTCAAGCAAGAGCTCTTTGATAAATCGAATTGCCTGCTTGAAAGCATTTCTGATATCCTCCTGACTTGGTTTATCGAATTCAAAAGCCATCTCTTCGAGAACAGCTAGCATATCTTGCACAGGCATCACCCTAGTTACCTCAGCAACGAAGGCATTAGCCAGCTCGGTCACAAAATGCTCATCCCATTCGGGAGGAGCAAATTCCTGGAGAGTTCGGTTCAGATCAGTCCGCAATCTCATTTTATCTCTCTGAATCAACTCGGGTGCACCAACCTCCGTTTCCCCGGTACGTACCCATGGCATCTGGGGATGCCGATGCTTCAAGTCAGTCTCTTGGTC